TTCTTTCTATTTTTGGTAGAGACGGGGTCTCGCTCTTGCTCAGGCTGGTTTCGAACTCCTGAGCTCAAATAATCTGCCCGCCTCGGCCTTCCAGAGAGCTAGGATTACAGGCGTGAGCCACCATGCCCGGCCTCTCATATTTCTTTTAAGTATGCATTTGTAAACAATATAGAATAGCTTTACCTATTGTAGTCTCCACTTAATCTGCAAATAATGCTTATTTTATTGTTTTGCTATATGTGGACCTGGCAGTTGATAAGTTTAAATTTAGTCCTGTCGGATGTACTTAACAGGATATTTTTTTTTCTTTAGTTACGACCACCTCAACCTCCAGTGTACCTCTTTGTATTTGACGTGTCTCACAATGCAGTTGAAACTGGATACTTGAATTCAGTTTGCCAGAGTTTGTTAGACAATCTGGATTTGTAAGTGTCTCAATTCAACTTAAATCTGAAACTAACAGTGTTTGCAAAATGAATAAGTAGTTTTCAAAATACAAAAAAAAAGCTATGTTCTAAAAGACCACTTAGATCAGTTGTTACCTTAGGCTTCATTTTCTCTTAGAAACGTTCATTTTAAACCTGTAGTAAACAGGAAGAATAATGTAATGAACCTCTAGGCACCTATCCCCCAACTTCACCATCTTCAGCATTCTTCTGTTCTTGCTTCATCTGAACCTTCCCCTTCACACACACACTTTTTTCTCCCCTTAAGAATTTTAAAGCAGTTCTCAGCCAGCATATTGTTTTGCCTATAAATAATTCAGGACTACTTTTTTTTTTTGAGACAGTCTTGCTCTCTCACCTGGGCTTGAGTGCAGTGGTGTCATCATAGCTCACTTCAACCTCAAACTCCTGGGCTTAAGCAATCCTCCTGCCTCAGACTCTTGAGTAGCTGGGACTGCAGGTGCACCACACTTGGCTAACTTTTTCTACTTTTAGTAGAGACAGGATTTTGCTGCTGCTCAAGCTGGTCTCAAACTCCTGAGCTCAAACAATCCTTCCGCCTCAGCCTCCCAGAGTGCTAGGATTACAGGTGTGAGCCTGTCATCAGGTTGTGATCGGCCACAGGACTGACTTTTAACCCTAGCTATGATACTAGTATCACTCTAAGGAAAATTAGCAATAATTCCATAATACGATGTAATACCCAGTTCATTTTTTGTTCCTAGTTATCTCAAAAATGTCTTTTTACTGTAGGTTTGTTGGAGTAATAATCCAAACAGTGTACACAAATTGCATTTGGTTTTCACGTCTCTTAAGTCTCTTAAAATAACTATATTTCAAATGGTTCTTAGATACTTAGCGTAATCCATAAAAGCTAGAGTGACCTTTCAGTGTAACGAAGTATAGAAGTATAGTGCTCGTGTGTGGTATGGAGGAATGTGGAAGACCAAATCTTATCACAAATGGAGTAATTCCCTCACCTTGGTGAAAAGGGCACCCTTGTTCCTCCCAGCATTTGTATTTTTAATGTTGTAGATTGTGTATGGGGACTGCATATCGATGAGATAGTCCACTGACTCATCCAAGCATGA